TCTGGCCATCTGCTTCCCTGTAATTACTGACAAATCATCCAGTGTATTGAATTCAGTTTCATTACTGGGTGGGGTGGGATTTGAACCCATAAAGTAATTTAGAACCCATTGGGAAAATCTCAACCTTGACCTTACTGTTGTACAGCAAGTGGACAGTAGAGGGCAGACATCTCCATATACAGCACAGAGAGATGGCAAGTCAGTGTGGGGCAGGGACCACCATGGTGGGAAGTGGACAGGAAAGGGGTGGGAGGTGATGTGGACAAGATTCAGATGAGGAATGAGGAACAAGAGGAGGCAACGGCCTAGTGGTATCATCACTAGTTCATTAATCCAGAAACTCAGTTAATGTTCTGTACCTGGGTTGAAATGCTGCTCTGGCAAATGGCGGAATTTGAATTTATAAAAAGATCTGGAATTAAGAATCTACTGATGACCATGAAACCATTGTTGGTTGTTGGAAAAACTGATTTGGCTCACTAATGCCCTTCATAAGTCAGGAGTGTGATGAAATACTCCCCGCCTGCCTAGATGGGTGCAGTTCCAACAACATTCAAGAAGCTTGACACCATCCAGGCCAAAGTATCTCGCTTGATTGGCACCACACCCACAAACATCCGTTCCCTCCACCACTGATGCTTACTAGCAGCAGTGTGTACTATCTGCGAGATGCTTTGCAGAAATTCACCAAAGATCTTTAGACAGCATCTTCCAAACCCACGACAACTTCCATCTAGAAGGACAAGGGCAGCAGATACACACAAACACCACTACCTGACAGTTCTGCACCAAGCCACTCACCATCCTAAATTAGAAATATATCGCAGTTTCTCCACTGTCACTGAGTCAAAATTCCAGAATCCCCTCCCTAGGAGTATTGTGGGTCAACATAGAGCAGCAGTTTAAGAAGGCAGCTCACTGTCAACTTCTTGAGGGCAACTAGGTACAAGCACTAAATGCTAGCCAGCCAACAACGCTACTTTCTACGAAGAAGAAATTAGGATCTGCACCCTATGGTGTCTATATTCTTTCATGTGGTTATTGGTCAGTTGTGCACTGAAGGGGTAGAGAAGCCGTTGTAATTGTGTAGATGTACAGTAGCATTCCTTACTCCTCATATAGACTAACCTCAGATATTGTACGTGCCTCTCTCATTTTGATCAGGAACTTCTCGAGATTCGAAAGGAAATTGGTTCTGCAATTGACTCTTCAACTGCTGCATACGAAGCCAGGTGAGATACCCCGCTCATGGGACACCATTCTCAATGCTATTTACTTATATTGAAAAATAACAGATCAAGAGTGTTCTGAAATATCCCATCCCTGTATGAGCTCAAGATGATTTTGAAGTGGGGAATGCTGGAAACACACTTATGTGAATTGCTGTCAGTGCCCTGGATACGAATGAAACACTGTGTGCATGAGACTGAATTCAGTACAGTCGATTAAAATTGGCTTAAAGATTACCCCATTACAAACAGCCTCTCCTACACCTTGCTTTCATCTTCAGTTCTGTATATAGTCATCTCCAAGTTGGAGAATATAGGGCAAATGGAATGCTGTGGCATTGAAATGTACTTATATTTCAGAGTTCCAGCCTGATGAGGAGAATCTTATGACACAGAGACGGAGCTGTTTGCAATTAATTCCTGTACATTTGAACCAACCATTTGAAGCAATGCAAAGCTGTGGCATATCCACCAGTAAAGTTATAGATCACAGCCTGCATTGAGTTAATTGATTTCAGGTAATTAAACATTATAATTAGGCTGAGTGCCCAAGGGCTAGAATCAGAGATAAATAGCCTTGTTTCCGATCCTTAGCTAACAATTCCACGGACATTGGTTATGGACAGGATCTGGCCTAACTTTGATGCTCCATGGTCCAGCAGGACACAGATACACACGGTTGCAGCTAAAGCATGTGGTTAACTCTTACGTGGTCTAGAAAACCACTCCGTTATCTCAAGAGCCACCACAAAGTATTGAACTACAGCAGCTCAAAGAGAAGACCCAGTGCCACTTTCTCAAAGATAGCTAGAAGATGGACAAACATGTTGGTCTTGCTGAGACTGATGTACTGAGGGGTGGCCTGTGCCTGTGGAAGCAAACTCCAGTGAGGAATCAGCATCTTGCAGTGAGAATGAAAGAGAATACTGCTTTTTCTGTGTAAGGTAGGGACAGCTGTCTCTGGCTGATCTCTTTACGATGATCTACTGTAGGGATGAGGCACAGACAAAGATGCAGCAAATGAAGGAGAAGGCAGAGAAGGATCTGGCACTGCATGCCGCTGAGATGAAGGAACTTCAGAGAGTCATTGACCATGACAGGAAGTTGAAGGAGTTCATGGGAATTAAAACTCAGGAGCGGTTGAGTGAAGACATGGCATTACACGGCGTGCACAAGCGAGGTAAAAAGAGTGTTAAAAATTCCCTCATCGACAGAGACATTAGTTAATAATACACCCATGCTACGTGAGGGGCAAGTGTTTTTAATTCTCAACGTGTGGATGTCATTAGCACATCTGTCATTCGTTATCCATCTATATTTAAGCAGTAATGATACAACAGAGTGTCTCAGTCAGAAAGAAATGGGGCATTGGGCAGAAAGGTGGAGCTTGGTCAAAAAATGGCCATGATTGTGTTGAATGGTCATGGAGAGTCTACATAGTCTACTCCTGTTCCTATTTCTAAAGTTCTCGGGCCACTTCCAGGGTCAGTTAAGAAGCAACCACATTAATGTGGGACTGGAGACAGATATAGATCGTGACCAGGTAAGGACAATCCTTCCCTGAAGGACAATGGTTAACCAGTTGTGTTTTTATTATAGTCTGACAGCTTTGTAGTCACATTTACTGACAACAGATTTTTAAAAACTGAATTCAAATTCTCAAACTGGACTTGTGGGAATTAAGGTCAAACTCCCTAGATTACAACTCCACATATACCCATACACTATTGTACCACATTGTCTCCATGTGATGTGAGAGCCACCTGACCAAATAACCCACAACTCCCCATCTCCAGTTCAGCTCAATGAGCACTGAACAAGGACATTTGAGCTTGGTACACAGAGATGAGCTGAAGTTAACTGTCATTTTAACAGTGCAGCCTGCACAAAACTGGGGAGACAATGGCCTAGTGGGGTTATAGGTAAATTGTTAATCCAGAAACTCAACTAATGTTCTGGGGACCTGGATTTGAATCTGGCCATGGCAGATGGTAGAATTTAAATTCAATGAAACATATCTGGAATTAAGAATCTACTGATGACTATGAAACCGTTGTCAGAAAAGACCACCTGATTCACTGATGTCCTTCAGGAAAGAAATCTGCCATCCTTACCTGGTCTGGCCTCCATGTGACTCCAGACCCACAGCAATGTGATTAACTCTCAACTGCCCTCTGGCAAATTAGGGACGGGTAATGAATGCTGGCTGAGCCAGTGACACACATCCTGTCAATGAATAAACAAAAAATGTTGGGAAATCTAACTAAAGGGAACCGTGTAGCATCAATTTCAAACTCTTCCTTTTGAACTCTGAACTTGCTTCTAAATGGGAAGATTCATAAGTGAAAAATGTACAAAGTAGTACCACTAAGAGAAGGACTGTCTTATAATAACAGTAAATATACTTCAAAAGTAGTTCGCTATCTGTAAAGCACTTTGGGAAATCATGGAGTCTTGAAAGTTGTGACATAAATGCAAATCTCTCTTTAAAATCCACTGGTGTCCTTGAATCTTGTCCTAAGAACATGGAGACTCAGCAAGGAAAAAGAAGGACGCAAGGGAAGAGACTGTGGAGATGTATGAAGCTGCCTTCCAGCAGATCCGAGCACTCACAGGAGAGGACAATCTGAACGTGGTGGTGGCAAAATTCAAAGAAGGTGAGGCAACACTTTCAATGCATCACGAGGAGAGAGACTTCAGTCAAGTAGCACAGTCAGAACAAAGGAATTATCTGTGTTTCTCTGGTTCAGCGGAGAGGGTGCAAGTGTTGATTGAGGGAGGCGGAATTAGGAGTCATGGTAGCAGGGGGTGGGGAGGGGGAGCTGTGGAGTAAGGGAAGGAGTCAAGCACAGGGTGTCTGGTTACGCTGTTCGATCAGGGATCATCAGTTTTCATGATGCTGTCTTTCATTTCTTTTTTTAAATCACACTTGACAGGGTGATGGTGGTGGTATAGTCACAAAGCAATCCCAGCATTGTTTAAAGCTCTAGTCTTAGGAAACATAACAAGGAACTCACCATTCTAACATTTGACAGACATCAGCCGTGTCATTATTGCAGGATATGATTTATTTACAGAAATAATGGTCCAGCAAGTAACCAAGTTTAGAAGTCTGAAATAAGAACAGAAAGTACTGAACATATTCTTTAGGGCTGGCAGCATCTGTAAAAAAAAAGAAGCAGAGTTAACATTTTGTGAGGAATACATATATATTTATGGACTATGAGGAACAGCAATATGCAACTATCTGGACATTTCTGGGTTGAGGAGGCTTTATCATGTGATTTCTTAGAAATCAAAAGAGGTCAAAGGAAACCGCCGATCGTCTGTATTTTTTTACTGAAAATGCAAGTTATTTTGAGAGAAGACTTTAATGGAGCTTTTGAGAGTGATATGAAGTGAATTTCATGGCCTTTAATTCGCTGGAAAAACAGACACAGAAAAACCCTAGGGTCTGTGCTGTTCATTGCTGGGTGTTTACACAGACTTAATTATGAGGAGTTGTTGAAGAAACTTGCAATAGAAAGCAGCTCTCTCTCTCTCTCTCAGTTAGCAAAAAACAAACCTTAAAACAGAGCCACCTGATAAAATTTTAAAAGTCAGAACTTCTAGCTATTACTCATCCATCAGCAAATTAACCTTATCAATAGGGAATTGGATGAACTGTGAGAAATAAACTTATTCTATCTGCAGAATTCATACTTTTGACTATGGTGGTGTTATTCCTTTTTTACCGATTTCCTCAAACCCATGCAGAGCTGTGTTGTATTGTCTGTGTATGAACAAGTGTTTGGGATTAAGGGGATATAATTCTGAATAGTAGCTTAATTGTTCACTATTTTTGCCATATGTTTGAAGAAGAAGCCTTGCTTATAATAAATAAGTATATTTTGTTCACACTCTGAAACCAATATTAAAGTGAAACAAATTTGCTGTTTTGATGATTCAGTAAACATTTACATTTTTGACATGGCTCTCGAGTAGTGGGACTTGCTTCTACGCACACTCCTCCCATCAGAGTTGTAACAATTTCAATTCAATTACTTCTCATCAGAAATCAAGGGTCCTGGTGATAAAGGCTGTTGAAATGGCAGTGTGAGAGATTAGGATTTCTGTTACCTCTTTAACTGTTGGAATAGGGCTGAATATTTTCATTCTAACTCTCAGACTACACTGTTTGTTTTCTGACAGTGGAAGATCGGAACTTTGCATTGTTTAATTACATCAATGAGCAGAGCAGTGAGATTGAGAGACTGCAAGAGGAGATTGCTGATGTAAGTTTTACAAAAATATTTTCTTTTTACTAACTTATCATTCTTCAGAAACATAGGTTGAGAAAACACAAATTGGCACCAATTTTAATGACCCACTGAGGCAGATTCCAAACACATTTCCAGTCATTGTCTGCAGAGAGGTGTTTGATGGTCTGGAAGGACATCAGTTAGTGATCTCAGAGTAAAATTCTTTGGTGACAGTCAGCATTTTGACAGCTCAACGCAGTTCTTAGTGTTGAGTTGTCCAGCATCATTAGTGGGAAATAAGATCTGGTCCTTTCCAGCAGCTGGTGGAGCCTGCAAGGGGAATCAGAAGGGAAGGATATTTATGAAGTTATTTGTTCTAAAGGTATCCTGGCCAATGTTTATCCCTCAACAAATATTTAAAAAGGATCATTTGGTCAGTATCTCTTTTCTGTTTGAGGGATTTTACTGCAGCCACGTTGGCTGTTATATTTCCCCACAAAATAATAATAACTGCACATCAAAATTTTCACACTGTGAAAACTGTTTTGGCTTGTCTTGTGTTTTTGAAAAGCATCATATAATTGTAGGTGATAACACAGTATGGAGCTGGAGAAGCACAGCAGGCCAGGCAGCATCAGAGGAGCAGGAAAGTTATGTTTGGGGTCAGGACCCTTCAGAAATGGGGAGGGGTAAGGGAGCTCAGAAATAAATAGAGAGAAGAGGTGTGGGGCTGGGGAAGGTAAGTGGGATGGTGATAGGTGAGTGCAGATAGGGAGTGGTGGGGATTGGTCAGTGAGGTGGGAGGGGCGGATAGGTGGAAGAGAAGGTGTCAGGTCAAGGAAGCGGGATGAGAGGGAGGGTTGGACATGGGATGAAGCCGGGGATGGGGAGATTTTAAAACTGGTGAATTCCATGTTTAGGCCATTGGGCTGTAAGCTCCTGAGGCGGAATATGAGCTGCTGCTCCTCCAGTTTGCAAGTGGTGCCATTGTGACACTGGAGGAGGCCCAGGATGGACATGTCACCCAGGGAGTGGGAAGAAGAGTTAAAATGGTTGGTGACTGGAAGGTGTTGTCATTTGTCATGAACAGAGCACAGACACTCTACAAAGCGCTCTCCAAGTCTACACTTGGTCTCACTGGTGTAGAGGAGGCCACATCGGGAGCAGCGGAAGCAGTAGGCCAAGTTGACAGATGTGTAGGTGAACGCCTGTCTAATGTAGAACGTTTGTTTTGTGCCTTGAATGGAGGTGAGGGGGGGAGGTGTAGTACTTCCTGTGGTTGTAGGGAAAGGTGCTGTGGGTGGTGGGGCTAGTGGGGAGTGTGGAGCAGACAAGGGAGTCATGGAGAGAGGGTCACTACGAAAGGCAGATAGGGGTGGGGAGGGAAATACCTCTTTGGTTGTGGGGTCAGATTGTAAATGGCGAAAGTGGCAGAGAATGATATGTTGGATACGGAGGTTGGTGGGGTGATACGTGAGGACAAGGGGGATTCTGTCTTTATTTTTGTTGGGGAAGGGGATGTGACAGCAGAAGTGCGGGAAACGCAAGAGATGCGGTTGAGGGCATTTTCCATCACCGGAGGAGGGATGTTACAGTCCTTGAAATAGGAGGACAGCCTGGCCTGCTGTGCTTATCCAGCACCAAACTGTGTTATCTCTGACTCCAGCATCTGCAGTTCTTGCTATCTCTGATATAAATGTAGGTTCCTACATTCATTTCTGTAAAGGTTCCTTTTGCATGTGTTTCCTTCAAAGTTGAAGAGCATTAGTCTATCCATTCAATTCTCTGACACCCCAGTTCCTCTCTTGTACATTTTTTTAAAATGTAGATCCAGGCACAGATTGAAGCCTTCAAATTACAAGAGCAGCAAAGGGAGCAAGAACATAAAGTTATTCTAAAGAAGATTGAAACTCAACAGGAGGAAGCGAGCAAACAGGCCACCGAATGTGACAACAGGATTAAAGGGGTCAGAAAGATACTTGACCAACTCAAAGAAAGTAAGCGAAGACCTTTTATATTTATTGCATATTTATTTATTATATCAATGACATGCTCAGTGATTGTATATCCACCTGAGTCAGAAGGTACAGGATTTGAAACCTACTCCAGAACTGTCCAAATAAGCGGAGACCATACTTTAGCTTGGAACTCAAAGGTACCCACTCTTGTGTGGGTAGAGAGAACTCATAAAAGCCATCTTGCTACATTGGACTAACCTGTTACTGTCAGGGAGAAAGATGATTACAGACATGGATGAACTGTTTGCTGGTGAGACAGTTAATTAGCCCACAAATTGACACTGTAACAAAATTCTATTCAAGAGGGCAGTTTAAACGTTGCCAATGGAAGATGAAGTTCCACTGTTAGAATGACTTTTTCATCCTGTCTTTCTTACCTCCAATCCTGGAGATGTTCACTTTAGTGGAAATATGGATCCAAAAATACTTGCCAGCCCTCTTACTAGATACTATCAAACACGATAAGCGGTTGTCCCTTCTCCAGAGCAGTACATCTGGAGGATATGGCCTGTACCTGAACAGTCATGGGTATGGAAGGAGATAAATGCAAACTAACTTTTTTTTCATTCATTCATGGGATATGGATTACTGTGACTAGGCCAACATTTATTGCCCATCACTAATTGCCCAGAGGGCAGTTAAGAGTCAACCACATTGATGTGGGTCTGGAGTAACGTATAGGCCAGACCAGGTAAGGATGACAGATTTCCTTTCCTAAAGGACATAAGTGGACCAGATGGATTTTTCCGACTCTACAGCAAACAATGGCTAGAATTTTGTAGTCAATAAATGAAGTGAAGGCACAAACCATTGACATCAAATACAGCTACCCACCAATATCAGGCAACATTTTGTAATATTTATTTCCTGAGCATAAATTGAATTTGGCACCGAGTAAAAGGGTTCTTCAAACATCCAGCAACTACAAAACCATCAAGCAGGGTAATAGTCAATAAATTGAAGAATTCTCACAGGCGGCAAGCTATGAATTAAAATATGCTGATTATATTTTAGTTCATAAATTTTAGAGAATGTAATAAAAATTAGAACATAAAAACTGAATTAGTTGTTCAAATACTATAGGTTCTTAATGAAAATCACTTTCATGCTTAAAGAAATTGAACTTTCATCATAATGGAAAGATTTGGCTTTCCACAGATTTTTTTTAAAAAATAGCTTTGCAGTTCAAAGGGGTTGCCCAGTGAGCTAGTACAACATGTGTTATTAGTAAGGAATAACTTTTTCAGGGATTTTCAATCTCCCAATTGTAGCTAAGAAGGCAAGTTCTCAGATCAGTTATAACATCAGTGACTTATAAAGATTGCTGTCTTTGGGAATTTCGATGGCCTAGCCTGTCATGGAGCAGAGAATCACTAGCAGCATCTTCTGGGTTTTACTGTGCATAGGTCGATGACAGCAGTTGCTGCCAGTTGCAGAACACAATGATGGCAAGTGCTGACAGTTTCTGTGACATTACACAACTGCAAAATCTGGGCTAAGATTTCAGTGAGCCAATCTCTGGAACAGGCCCTGAGGAAAATGGTGGTTCAGAAAGTATTGATCTATTTAAAGGCAAATTTGATAGATTTCTTTCTGAGTAACATGTTAAATTCCCAGGTGGAATTTTTTTTTGAGACTAAGTTTGGAGGTGGGTATAAAAGTGGCAGTTACCTCCACTTGGGACAGGTCAGATTTTTGGAAAGAAACGACTCGGTTATAGAGGAGCCAGGTAATAGAAGACATTGATCCTCACTGGAGCCTAGAGGAAGAAGCTTATCCTGCCAGGTACATGGCTCAAATATATAGTCATCTGTGAACACATCTGTTTCCCATGTTTGCTGAACAAGACTGCATTCATGAATGTAATTCCAGGCTAGGATGTTAATGAGTTATTAAAGATAATGAATGATATTCATATACATGAAAGAGGGTTCCTGAACATCAAGGTAAAGAAAGCCGCCCCTCCCTACAGATTCTGAGAACTTAATGGCAACTTTAACCAGCTGTCAGGAAAATTGATGTTTTATTTCCTATCTAAGTTCCATTGCCAATCTAAAAGCTCTGGAGTGAAAACTGCCCACAGTGTGTGAACAATTTGACACATGGCCTGTGTTCATTATCATGTGCTTGAGCAGAACAGGTAAAACATTCAATTCCAGATCCATACATGGACAGAGCTGCCTTGGTCTTTCTTGGGACCAAATCCAACAAGAATCAGCACTAATGTGAAGAGAAGAAAATATGTTCTGGTGAAGAGTCACTGGACTCGAACTGTTGACTCTATTTTCTTCTCACAGATGCTGCCAGACTACTGAGTTTTGCCAGCAATTTTTGTTTTTTGTTTTTTTTTAAATTCAGCATTAAAACATTTTAATTGAAAGTTATTCCATCTACAGAAATTGATTCACTATTTACTAGAATGAACTGCGATCGATCTATTTTGGATGAAATGTTGGGATCTTCATCCGGAATCCGGGATAATAATGTGATGCAGTACCTGGGCCTCATTGAGCAACGCACCAATGAACTACTGTCTATCCAATCCTACCTTGCATCCAAGGTATTGATAAATTATATGCTCAGTGTACACTCTGCTTTCATGGTATATTTTGAGTTTTGCATTGAGGTAGAAAACCATTTCCATTCCTGAGGATATTTTGTTGTAACAAACACTCAGCTGACAACTGAGTGAGCTGACATAATGAAAGAACTAACATAGATGACATGGGCTGAACAGTATCCTTTTAGTGCTGTCTGATACTAGTCCCGGAATGACTCAAATAAAAGTTTAGACAGAAAGCTGATTAAATTCAGTTCAGGTTGTGTTCAAACATGCTGGGTCTCTTTGACAATGTGTGTAGTGCTAACAATTACTGTTCTAAATCCTGTTCATTCCAGGATTACAACAAGCCATATGACCCACGGGAAGCTGCCATTTTTTTGATGGGCCAGAATCTGAAAAAGCCCCCCCCGCCGGTCTACATTGAACCTCCCAGCACAGGGTCTGTACCTCCCACCTCAATTCCATCAGTCAATCTGGGGAGAGGCAGAGATCAGCCATAATCATGAATTATAATCACATGGAGATTGCAAGCTGTTCTGACCCAATTCATAATTTTCTTCTTGGTTTATAAATCACTTTGTTTCACATCATTTACAAAACAAGAGGTTGTGCAGACACCCTCTGGCTCACATGAGGAGTTGGTACAAAATACACCAGGATCAAAATTGGCCTTTGAGGCTGTGCAAATATAGTATTTGCAGAGTAGCAGCCCACTTGGAATGAAAAAAAGACAATCAGGCATGTAAAGACGTGCACAGTGGCTCCGTGGTTAGCACTGCTGCCTCAGACCGCCAGGAGCCCGGCTTCGATTCTACCCTCGGGCAACTGTGGAGGTTGTACATTCTCCCCATGTCTGTGTGGGTTTCCCCCAGGTGCTCCGGTTTCCTCCAACAGTCCAAAGATGTGCAGGCTAAGTGGATTGACCATGCTAAATTGCCCATAGTGTTCAGGGATGTGTGGATGGGGATGGGTCTGGGTTGGATGATCTGAGGGTCGGTGTGGACTTGTTGGGCCAAAGGGCCTGTTTCCACACTGTAGGGATTCTATGATTTTAAAACATGGCAGTATAACTGTTAGTGAGTCATTGTATTCGGGGAGAGGTGAAAATTGGTGATGAGGGGAGGGGTGGGCAGAGGGGAGTGCAAAGAGATTACAACTAGATTTCTTCCCTGATGATGTGGGTTGGAGAGTTCATTGACTGGTGGTAATGTTTGAGTAAAAATTTAACTCTTCCAGAAATGATAGTGACAGTGACGTGGAGTCTCCAGTGACTGACGAGGAGGAGAGGCCCCTGACTCAGAATGAACTACGGCAAAGAATACTGAAAGGGGTAAGGTCAGAGTGTGTGACCTATTAAAGATCTTACAGCCTCCATCCCCTTCAATGAACTGATTAATATGCGTTTTATTGTAAATAAAATCCAGCTCCTCCCCACTGTAATATTTGGTTTGAACCCAATCACACTCCAGATACTAATCCTTAAAAACCTTTATTTTGCTTTTCCACCACTGCTGAAGATGCTGACTCCTTATCACTGCAGTACCATTAAATTGGGGCTGCTAATCTTCTGATACCTTGTCCAAGTGATAGCTGACCACAAAAAACATTACAGCACACACTCATCACAAAGGTTCATTATAAAAGGTAATTTCAGATGGTGGTCTTAATGTCTTTCATCTGTTCACAATGTAAATCGGATATTGTGAAATTGTCCCAACCTTGCTGTTCTTTCCTCAGTTCTCATTGTTGGAAGAACTGAATTATTGCAAACTGACCGAGTCATAAAAGCCAATATTTCTTTTAGTGACTTGTGATTGGATCATTTGGCATAATGGAAGGAGAAAGGTTGCATTGAGGAAAGGGGGATTTTGAAACTCCTAAGATATCCCACAATATTACATTTGGAGTTCAGAATCAAAATGCCAGCAAACAGCGATCCCACCCAGAGTCAACTGGTTAAGCCGCAGGTGTCAGCTGTCTGTTGTTTGAGTCAGAACAATTGGTTTGTATCTCATTCCAGAGACTTGAGCCCATTATCCAGACTCCACATTCCAATGCAGTACTGAAGGAGCATTGCACTGTCAGCAATGCCATGTTTTAGATGTGATGTTAAACAAAAACTTGGAGTTTCTTCTCAGATAGATGAAAAAAAAGATATATTTGAAGGACAGAAGAGTTCTTTATAGTATTCTATTACATTTATCCCTCAACCAACATCAGATTATCTAAAACAGATAATCAGGCTATTATCTCAGAGTTGTAATATATTCAGATACTGGCAAGGAAGGGATGCACGAAATTTTACAATCTGTGGCCAGAGATTGATACAGCTAGTGGGTAGTCAGCAGTATAAGTCAGATTTGTTAACCGCGTTGTTTGAACTACATCTGTATCACCTACACTATTCCCTCTCTAATCGGTATGCCATATCATTAATGAGTTTAGTTATTTCATGTCTCAATATTTTTAGGTGATGAGAAAAGAAGCAAAGGCTTTAAAGAAGAGCAGCCATTATGACCGCTCACAGCAAAAGTTCTAAAGGCCTCAAAGCAGCACCATCAACCAAGAAATGCTGAAGAAGATCATATTCATAAGATTTACTTTATGCTTAGAGAAATTACCATGTCTGCACCATTTTCTCTATACAGTGTCTTCATTAAGTATGTTTCTTTTCTAAATTTGTTCACGGGATGTGGGCATCACTGGCGAGGTGAGTTGCCTTCTTGAACCACTGAAATCCTTGGCATGTATAGACACTCAAGAGTGCTGTGAGGAAGGGAGTTCTGTGTTGACTCGTTGCTGGGTATCAATTTTTAATCTCATTGCATTTTTTTAAAATTAGAAGTCTTGTAATTCCAGAATAAGCATGTATGGAATTAAATCATTGCCCCTTGTATAATTCTTCAAAGAGGAATATGCCAGGTCACTATAAATGACATTAGCTATGAATTTGCTTATGGATGCAGATCGCTGGAGCTGAGAATTGGAAACTCCATGAGTTAATTAATTGGGATAGTCACTGTCAGGGAAACACTGCAAGTTATTAATAGTAATTGCTTCAGTTTAATATTTATATGCTATTCTCTAGTAATTAAATTGTGAGAAGTATATAGTCTTTCAATTCAGCTAGTGTGGTTCACTTTGGACAGTGGCTTCGCCAGGTCTTTCTACCCCAAATTAGCTGGAAGTCTCTGGTTGAAAGGTCATTGAGTGCAGAGTTACGTTTTGAGAGGGAGAGCAACAGGACTCAGTGTTTGTAGTAATCTTGAATGAATTTAAAGTTCCATACCACAGCTATTATTTTCTGGTTATGCTTATGTAAAATGCCTTTGGAAAGTTTTCTCCATTAAAGGTACTGCATAACTACAGTCATTGTTGTTAGCATGAGGTTTAGATATTTGACTATAACACTAAGTTGCACTTATAACATTACTTTCAACATGACAACATGTCCTAAGGCTCTAAAGAGAAACCATGCCGAATCTTAATCTTTAAGTTTAACATTCTGAAAGCTAAGTTTCTTGTTGATTTAATTTATACAAATTAGATCACAGGTTTGAAGCTTGTGTTTCAACTTGATAAGAGGGTTTCTCTAGTCTGCTGTCTATAAAAACAAAAAAATTTATGTGACAGCATTTAATACCCTCCAATAGATGGTGTAAAATAAGGGTTCTGTGTCACACATTGTAATAATTTACTGATGCTCCTTCCACCACTTAGAAGGACAAGGGCAACAGCTGCAGGAGAACATTTCCAGTTCTAAATATCACTCCAAGTCAGACACCATTGTCATCATGTGACAATAACTTTCACATCCCAACGATGAATACAGATATTCCCTGGTTAGAATGCATTCTAATGACACGTTTTATTTTAAAGCAGTTTGAAATGTAGGCAATATAGTCAAATGCTGCTGCTGACCATGCCCATCATTTTCACTTTAACATGGTTACTGCATGATTTTGTACCTCTTTTCAGCCAGGACTCTTGCCCCTTCAGAACTCAGAGTAACTCCTTGGAGTTCACTTCTCCCTTGTGAATTAGCAAATCAAGAACAATCCCAGAATCTTTTGTTTTAATTTGCAATTAAAAATAACAAAATAATTCTAAACTTTCATATTCAATATTAATCCAACTTTATAATTTATTAGTAAATTCACATCTTGGACAAATTAAATGAAATTATTCACACTTAAATTTGGAAATCACTTTTTACTTGTCTTTTTCAGAGGTTTTGCCCAGTGATCCACTGCAGAGCAGAGGCCAGTTTCACCACTTCTGGAATTGGTCTGTCAAAAACAAAAATCAACAAACTATCAGCAAATATGTCTTTTGTAATGTTGCTGACTTCTAGATTTTCGGGAGATAGTTTTAACCAAATTCACTGGTGGGAGATGGAGGGGATTGAAATAACTATCTGAATTACCACCCATTTTACAATTGATACAATTTCACTTATTATTGATTTCTGAATGTAAATCTTATAATCAGACTAGATCCTATCAATTCTTGAGTTAGAATCAGATCCTATCAGTTTGTAAGTTAGGACTAAATCCCCTACATCATTTTCAACCACTGAGATCAGTCTGCCTGTCACTTACCAGCAATTACACCTAAAAACCCCACAAATATAACACTACGTACAATCACCAACCCAGCATTCGTAATGGGTTGTTCTACATTGGAGCTCACTATATAAACACATAAGGTGGTCATTAGTCAGATCTTCGCTCATCTATTCAGAGAAACCCTTCCCTCAGAAACTGTCTCCTGTTTGCTCTATGGTCTCAGTCTTCAGCTGTTTTGGATAATCAATCCCAGTTCAAGTGAAGGAGCTGTTCCTGACCACAATTTCACTGGTTTAAATGCCATTGCTCATCATACTGTAACTGTGAAGCTTCACAGTGTACGGCGTTTACTGTTCCCACATCCTCTACTTTCTCATATCTTTCTATCATATTGAATAAAGATTTGAGTTAAAATTAATCATAGTTTATATTATCACAAAAATGTAAAATATCACCTTGGTGCAGTATTCAATGGATTAACTGATTTATGTTTAGTTCTGTCAATCTGTTGACTATCTATGTTCAAGTGTTTGATTTACCAAAGTGTAGTCTCTAAGAACTAGAATAAACAGAAGATTCCAAAAAGATTGGAGATGCTAGAACTGAGAACATATATGGAGATATCCTGTGATTGAAGGGATATTTTAAAGCACTGTATTTATATTATTGTATATTTAAAATTAGCATAATCTCTTCATGGTAAGTAAGATACATAAAGAATACAATAAGCCTGCAAATGCACAAAGCTCAACACTTCTGTTTAAAATTTAAATAATTTACCAGACTAATAACTGTAATTTACCTGCTCATTGTTGGTCCTCTATAAATGGCTGATAGGAATGGAGCAGATTTATTTAGATCCCAATGAGGGGGTATGCCAGACACTCTGAACTCTTCTAGAAAGTCAACAATTATTTTCTAAATTCCGAGAAGGGTTATACTGGTATATGAAGAGTCAGATCTGGAGTTAACTATCAGGGCTCCTGCAATTGGTGCAAGATTTTTGGTTCTCAAATACCCCCTCACCAGATGAAGGAGCTTCACCAAAGGAAAGATAAATTGTTACCAATTTGATCCAAATTGTTCTGATGACAGATTTTTACTAAAACATTCACCCATCTTTGTACTTTCTGATCGTGATGGGCTTGCTGTCTGGTTTTGTTTATACTTCTGATTAGCTAACTGTACCCTGTTCATTTTTAGAAGAGTGAAAGAACTTGCATATACTTAGTGCTTTCAAGCCTTAGGACAGCACCAGCACTTCACAACCACAGGCACTGTGGGAAATGCAGCAAGGTGGCACTGAACTAAATTATAGATAGTCTGTTTTAGGAGTGTTGGCTGAGGGATAAACACTGGCCAGGAGGCTTCCCCTGTTCTTTTTTGAAGAACGCCAAAGTATATTTCACATCCGAGAAGAGTAGATAGAGTGACAGTGTAACATTTCAGGTGAGGTGGCATCTCCAACATTGCCACACACCCTTAGAACAGTAGTATATGGTCAAGTCTTTAGAGTGACATATTAGCTTCAGCAGAAAGGGAAGACAGATAGAGATATAAATGGTTGTATGCATTATGGATGAGGTGCATGTGAGTGGGCTCTAAAACAGAAATGATGTATAATAGGCAGATTGTATAACAAGTACATAAAGCAGGCAGGGTATATGATTGGCATAATAAAAACAGAAAGCGCAGGAAAAACTCAGCAGGTCTGGCAGCATCTATAGAGTGAGCAACGAAGTTAATGTTTCAAGTCTGGTATGACTTCTTCAACCGTTCTGAACAAGAGTCAGATTGGACTCAAAATATTAACTGTTTATCTCTCCAGAGATGCTACCAGACCTGCTGAGTTTCTCTACTATTTTTTAATTTATATTATTGGATCTCCAGCATGCATAGTACTTTACTTCTGCTTGAATGCTTGTAATGGAATGAATTTATAATAAGTAAGGTGAATGGGAGAGTTTTATAATGGATGTTGATTATAATGGTTTCTAATGGGTACAGTTATAACAAGAGGGCATTGTAATAGATTGCCAATCCACTTGCACACATTTAGTAACTGCTGAAGTTGAATTTACAAACCTGGTTTGTACTGATTTTTTGGATCAATTCTCAGTTTGTGCTGTTGGAGGAAAAGGTGAAAGTACCGGAATGTTCCACTAATTTCCACTTGGTTATTGTAAAGTGTTACTTGAGTAGATTTCAATATGTATGGGTTTTATAAAGAGATTCAATCCCACAGCTCTGTCATTTCAATCCCCAGGAGTGGATTTTTAAAAAATCGACTCAAGTGCAGAACCTGGGGTACCACAACCTCTTTTTCTGGAAAGAAGTGGCAGGCTACTCCTGGAACATAACACCTGCATTAGCAGCATTAATTTCCTAAAATCTACCCCAAATATCTTTTGATTGTTGAAATGATCACAGCATTTGATTATTCTGTATTGGCACAGAAGACCACACGGCTTTCTCTCCTCGAACGTTCAGCATCGAACACCAGCAGGTGACTCAACAGGGTCTCCTCGGGACCTGTCCTGATCAGTGATGGATTGTTCTCCTGTGAAATAAAAGAAAAAGTAGAGGGAAGTCACACGGTGAAAGGCTTTGCAAGAGCAATGCCACAAAGCACTGAACAATATGCAAAACGCAATTCCACTGTTCACACATAAGCATCAAAAATCACTTGGAGCATAATAACTATTGTTTTACATCAGGCCACAGGATGCATTGAGGTGGCTGCTGTAAAATGGAGGAGTGAGAAACTCACAATGGCTTGCAAAAATATGAAACTGGAGTTAGTGTCATGGGCTGAGAAAGATAAAAATCAGAGTTCTAGGTTCTGATGATTATTCAGTGACCACAGACAATATGATCAAGCTTTGCAACAAAGCTCTCCATGGTGATCTGTCTAAATTTACTGAACAGATTGAGTTTAATATGTCTCTGGATGCAAACAGTCTTATCAGATTTTTAGATTATTTTATTCTTGTTGAATACTATGGAAAAGTAAGGACACAACAAGCTCTGTATCTGCTGAGTAAGCCAGCATTTCATAATTATCCAGTGATCTCTACTGGAAATTACATGAGCTTGGAAATGGCTCCATAGTCAAATATTCTACCAGCACTCACTGTCAGGGTTCATGTGTGGTAAATGGTCACTTGAATGAGGAGTTGGATGGACATCATGTACATGGAACTAGACTTCACTAAGATGCAAAATCTTGAAGAGGACACTTAAACATTTTCACAAAAAAAAGTCAATTTTAAAAGATTTACGAGATAATTCCAGAGATGAACTGCTTGTCTTATGAGCAGAGATTGAGCAGTTTAGGCCAATACTCACAGAATTTAGACGAATGAGAGAAGATCTAATTGAGGTACACAAGATGCTAAGGAAGTTTGACAGTGTATATAAAAAGGATGTTTTCCCTTGTGGAGCAATTTAGAATGAGAAGCCACAGTTTTAGGATTAGGGGTGGCAGATTTAAAAAAGAGATGAGGAGAAATTACTTTTCTCAAAAGGGTTGGGAATTTGTGGAATTCACTTCTCAAAGCAGATGTTGGGACACTGAATAAATTAGTAACAGGTTAAAGGGCTATGGGAAGCAGACAGGAAAGTTGACTTGAAGCCAAGAAGAGATCAGCCAATATCGTAATTAAACATTGGAACAGGCTCACAGGGCTGAACTGCCTACTTCTGATCCAAGTTCTTTTGTTCTCACGTAAAAAGGAATTGGTTCACATATCCACATCTCATGAGTAGTATCCCTGATCTTGGATATTCTTGAGATACTTAAAGTTAAACTTTACCCATTTCAATGGGAAGGGGGTTGGATGCATATTTTCCTGTCATTATTTCTAAATGCAAACAGAACTAGGACAGAAATTTGAAGAATTACAAATGCCACTTGCACCACTGTTCCTATACTGTGCGCCATAAGGTCTGTTGGGCTCAACGGATGCTGTCTCCATTAGAAGCATTCTGAACTTGCTGCTACCAACACACTATTACTGTAAAGCTACCATAAATGGGAAGGATGACTCTACTTGAGGAATCTGGGAGAGACAGTCCCCTTCAAGCTGCATAGGGAATATCTATGGTGGTTGTTTATATGGAATTCCAGAAGGCATTTGATAAAGCCCCACATAACAGACAATTAACTAAGATATCAGCCCACAGAATTGTGAGCAAATTACTGACATGGCTGGAAAATTAGTCAAGTGGCAGATGACAGAAAGTAGGAATAATGAGTAGGTACTCAATTTGGCAGGATGTGACCAGTGATGTCCAAAAAGAATCTGATAGGGCCTCAATTATTCACATTATTGATTAACGACTTGAATAGTGGCATACAAAGTCATACGTATAAATTTACTGATGATACAAAGTTAGGTGGCATTGTAGACAGTGTAGATGACAGCATAAAATTACAAAGGGATATTGATGGACTAGGTGAATGGGCAAAACTATTTCAGAAAGAGCTCAATGTAAATAAGTGTGAGGTTATCTATTTAGATAAGGGTACTTTCTAAATGGGATGAAGTTAAAGACTGTGGATGATTTAAGATACTTGAGGGTTCAGGTGCATAAATCTTTGAAATACTACAAACAGGTGCAGAAGATAATCAAGATGGCTAATGGAATGCTGGCCTTTATATTTAGGTGACTGGAGTATATGGAAGCAGAAGTTACGCTGCTGTTGTACAATACCCTGGATAGACTGTACTTTGAGTACTGTAAGCAGGTCTAGTTACTACACCTTAGGGAAGATATATAGGCCTTGGAATGAGTACAACATAGATTTACAAGAATGACACTTGAACTTCAGGGGTTAAGTTATGAGAAGAGATTATACAAATTAGGCCTGTCTTCTCGAGAATTTAGAAGGTTAATGGGTGATCTGATCGAAGTCTTCAGGATATTAGCAGGAAAAAACAGGGTAGATTAAGGTAAACTATTTCCACTGGTTGAAGATTCTAGAACTAGGAAGCATAATCTGAGAAACAGGGCCAGACTATTCAAGAGACTGGTAAGGAAGCACTTCTATACACAGAGAGTGGTAGAAGCTGGGAACTCTTCCACAAATGGCAGTTGATGCTAGATTAATTGTTAGTTTTAAGTCTGAGACAGGTAAACTTCTACTAAGCAAAGGTATTAAGGGATATGGACCAAAGGCGGTATATGGAGTTACGCCAAGATCAGCTATGATCTCTCCAAATGATGGAAACGGCTTGAGGATCTGAATGGCCTTTTCCTATTCTTATGTTGTGAGCTTATGATTGAATTTCAATAATGTGATACTGGATATGAGTGAATGTTTTGCAATGTCTGTTTGAACTGAAAAACATTTTCTAGTATAATTATTTGATTTTGAATTGATTTGATTTATTATTGTCACATGTACCTAGGTACAGTGAAAAGTTTTATTTTGCATGTAGTACTGGCAGACCATACCATACAAAGATCATAGGGTGATAGAACAGAGGGAGGAATAAAAAGTTACAGCTACAAAGAAGGTTCACAAGATCAACATTAGATTTGAAATTTGGGAGGTCCATTCAGAAGTCTAATAACACTAGCGAAGAAGTTGTTCTTGAACCTGTTGGTACACGTGTTTAAGCTTTTGTATCTTCTGCCTGATGGAAGAGGTTGGAAGAGATTATGACCGGGGTGGAAGATGTCTTTGATGATGTTGGTTGCCCTTCCAAGGCAGTAAGAAGTGTAGATGGAGCCAATGGATGGCAGGTTGGCTTGCGTTTTGGACTGGACTGTGTTCACAACTCTCTGTTGTTTCTTATGGTCCTGGTCAGAACAGTTGCCATACCAAGCCATGATACATCCAGATTGAATGCTTTCTATGGGTGTATCTATCAGCCATCAGTCAGCCGTGGATCACCTTTCCGTAATTGTCACTGGCTCAAAATCCTGTAAATCTGTATCTCTCAGTTCTGTGGAAGCACTTGCACCACACAAACTGCATCTGTTCAAGAAGCAGTCTCTACACTAACTTGCCAAGGGCAACTAGGAATGGGAAATAAATGTCAGCCTTGCCAACAGCTCCCACGTCCAAAGAATAAATTAAAAAGATATTTCTGAACTATGAAGAAGAATGGGATCTGGATGTAACAACAGTAAGATTGCATTTTAAGCAATTAATTAATGATATTGCTTAAACATGATTATTGCCTAACATTGCAAGAGTGCTATCTGTCCTTCATGACAAAACTACTTCAAATAGCAGTTTGTCAGAACAGGACCAGTCCATTTCCGAGTTGTGTTGGAAGAGTCCGCTTTTAATTCCCTTTGAATTGCAGTTATATGCCAATGTTCACTGCATGGGGAACATGGAATGTACAAGTGTTCTTTCAAGGTCAGGGGAAACTCACAGGCCAGATGTTCAGTTCAAGTAAGAAAATTCTGGGATTCTAAAGTCAAATGAAAGTGTAACAGTAAGCAAGTCAAATGATGCAATAAGGAATTGGAACTTGCACCAAATAAAAGTAACCACCAGGTGGCGGTGCAGTATCACAACTGAGCAAGATTTGACTCTGACATTTTCCTTCCTTGAAGTTTTTTATATATATAAAATGGAGCTATATGTAGTAGCTACCGAGGAGTGTCTCAAAGGAGAAAAGCAAGCTTGAGATTTGGAGAATATAGGGATGGAATTCGAGAATGAGGGATCTAGGCAACTGAAGATACTGCCACCAATGCAGGAGCAATTAAAATCAGGGTGTA